CATTGAAACACCGGTTCCCATAAAATCGCAGGAGTTAAGCAAGTTTGAGCCTTGTCAGTACTGAGATGGGTGACTAATTGTAAATACCAGATGCTGTATGTGTGGATGTGCAGTTGGTGTAATGGATAATGGCTTGGAATTGTTAATCGGAGAGCTGAGTTCCAATTCATTTTGGATTCATTATATTCACTTACACACAAATACCCATCATTTAATTAGAAAAACTTGTATTACTAAACCATCATTATACCTCTCTCCACAAAATTCTTACAATCTAAAAATATTTTCTGGCTTTAAAAAACCTGCAAAGGGTTAGTTTGACAAGCCACAGGAAACAACAAATCAGCCAGCCTATCAATCAACCAATTTATTTATATATATATATATATATATATATATGAATTGATTGATTTATATATATATATATATATATATATATATATATATATAGATAGATAGATAGATAGATAGATAGATAGGGTGTATCAAAAATACTTTTACAAAATCTGGAGGCATATTTCTCATACCAAAACAAAGACAAAAGACCATCTAAACATATGTTTGCAAATTCTTTGTTTTTTGAGTTATTAAGTTTAAAGTTCATGGTATATGCTCTTAAATGTACAATCCAAAAATATTTTTACAAATCTTGAGGCACCAAAACAAGATAAAATGTTCATATAAACATATGTCCAAAAGGTTATCATTGTACCGCAACACAATAACTCATAACAAATGTTCAAAATGTACTCTGCTTGCTTCTACACATGCATGCACCTGGTGGACCCTTTTAAATAATCCCAAATGATGTCAAATAGTTTCACAAGTACCCATCACATGTTGATGAAGTGTCTCTGCATTGTTAATGTCTACTACATAAACCAATTATTTTAGGTGACCCCATAGATAAAAATCCAAACGATTGAGGCCATGGAAATTGTCCTCCCCTACCTATCCATTATTCATGGTAGATGTCAGCCTGTACATTGCAAACAATGGGACTAAAATGTGCTGGATCACCATTTTGCCTGAACGACATGCAATTTTGTATTAGCAGGTACTAAAGTGTGTTTGAAATAAAGTCCCTGTAAGATGTGCTAGAAGAACCTATAAACCTACCAGACAGTTTCCTACAATTCCAGCCCACACAGTAATCATAAACTGATGCTGATGTCTAGCCTGTATTGTATCATAGGGATTCTAATCTAGCTACAAATGCTGATTATGTAAATTTGTTATAACATCTCTTTCAAATGTTGCCTCATCTATAAACAAGACTGAAGATACTAACAATGGATTGACAGTTTGTACAATGAACCATCAGCAAAAATTCTCCTGTGGTAAGTGATCAAAGGACAAAAGACCCTGAACACATTAAAGTAGCCTCTATATAGTACTATGATGTGCTAGGGTCACTTGACGTGTGCTGATACTTGGATCATCTCTGACAGCCTGTAGAATGTGTCCATCATGGTCAGGCATAGAAGCGGATCTCAGTGTTCCTCAATACATAGTTTGTGGTGCCACAGGATCCTGTCTCAGCAAAGTGACAATAAGCAACAGCAAAGGTTGGATGACTCACTGCCTTCAGTCTGGAAATGCAATCTGATACAGGCCTTCAGGCTCGCATCCATTAACATTCATGTGGCTGTATTTAAAAATCATATCTGCCTGCTCATGGTATGAATATCCAGCCATTGTTAAATAGAACACTTTTCATTTAACTCAAAATAGAACACTTTTCAGTTAACTCACTAAAAACACATTAAATGTTAAAGACAGACTAGCCACAAATGTACACGAATGACAAACGTAACCTACTCTACATGGCAACATAGCGCCATCTACTGTAAAATTTGTTTAAACTTAAAAATGAGGGATTTGAGATGTTTATATGGACTTTTGTCATTTTGGATTGAGGAACCCGCCCCAAAGTAAAAACTATTTTTGACACACCTGTATATATATATATATATATATATATATATATATATATATATGAAAAAATAGTTTTTAGGTATGCTATATTTACAGTTAAAGTGTTCAATATCAGGGATACAGTGTATGTAAATATAAAAGTAGACATTGATGTCAACACCCAGAAGTGACAGTCTGTTTCCTACTAAATGAAATCCTCAGGCCATGTGCATTGATTTTGCTCACCTATTTATATATACAGGTCAGTGATGCATTGTGAGTAGTCTATTGTAGTATTCTAATGGTTATTTTGGTGGGTAGTAATTTTTGTGTTTTGAATTATTCTAGAGTGGGAATAATTGTGGATCTGGATGCAGTTTTTTAACTATTTATAGTATTGTATTTGATGTAATGGAATAACCTGTCACCCCCATGAGTAACTACCTTATAGGTAGTAATTACCTATAAGTATTGGTAAGTCTACGGACTATGAGTTTAGCTGGGATCTATTTAGTATGACTCAGACTGACACGAGAACTACCAACCTTCCAGTAGTTGCACTCACTACTGAATTGACTTGCAATAATCATGCACATAACTGTTACTTTTATTCTTATTGTACTGTTTTTTTACAATAAACCTTTACTCATTTTATCCACCTTGTTTTTCAAGTATATATTCCTATTAGCACAGAATATAACAGTATTTTATTGTTGATTATATGTATAATTACATCAATAAATCTGTTTCCTTATAGTCAAAATTATTCTTTTTTTACTTAATAAATGTTTATTTTTCATTAGAATCTCCTTCATTGATACACTTAATTGAATGATGATTATTAATGCAATATTTTTATAGTGAAAATTTTGGAAAAAATTCAGTGAAAGATTCACATAACAATTACACATCAGACGACAGACTTATTGGTACATCTTTGTATGCTTATTCATTCTTGAAACTGTCCATGATTAATATAACTGAAAATCCACACTATAAAATAAATCTACATATCAATTTAGGATGCACCTGTTTTGCCTCTGCAAAGACAGAGAGAATTAGTCTATTTATATTCTACTTTGGAAGAGTCCGTAAAAATTAATCAGGTGATTGATTCTCTAATCAGCTAGCTGAATAGCTGGTCAGTCATGTCTGTTGAAAAATACACAAGAACAGAAAGAACTTGAAAAACAAAAATCCCAATTAATGAAGAAGAAACAACAAAAACTAATTAATAAACGAATATGCACACTAGTCATGTCCACATTAATGAAATGCTGTCTCATCCTTCTATCCGAGCCAATTAAGCAGAAATAAAAATATCAGAAAAATATTTTTTCTTTCTAATTATTTCAATAAACGCTTTTCATTTTTACACAAGGTTTCTTTATTTTTTAGTGGATGGCATGGTGGGGTGTCTGTGTCCGTCTTCATTGTCTGTCATTTGCTTTTTGTTTTATTTGGATGGTGAGAATTTTACAAATAGACACTCATCAGTATCCTTCTTCTTTTATGTTCTGAGTACCTTCAAGGTGTGGACATGGCTCTCCACAACTTGCCATACTTTGTAGCTCTTAGCAATGTTTGTCTTTTTACTATCCTTCTTGCTTCCTGCCCTGCCATCAATTTACATTAACCAGGTTACTCACTGTTTCCTTCTGTCTCTCTTGCTTTCAGTATGCCTTGATTGTCTTAAATTCTCCAAACCTTCTTTCCTAATTATGCACCCAAGAAACTCCAGTTGTCTCTTTCCATAAGTGTCCTTTTACTCTTTCCATTTTCCTTAAAAACTTTCCTGTTGTTCACATACTCCGTTCATGGTATTCTAAGCAGCCTTTTGTACAACCTCATCTCTGTTATATACATTATTTACATTTGAACTAATGTCTTCATCTTTGTTGCTATTCTCACAAATGAGGTCCAGAGGACGCAACAATGTAAATGTAGTTGAAGTAGAATTTAGAATGAACTAGAAACCTAATCCTAAACAGGAAACCAGGGATAAACCTCTACTCCTGTTCAAAATACCGGGAAGGAGTGTGATAGTCAGGCCTGCATTCATGCTGTTAAGACTTAATGATGTTGATTTGATTTGATTTACATTATTATCATTATTATTATTATATATTGGAGAGTTGGGGTTGAGTAAAAAGGAAAAACATGAAAAAGGTTAAAAATAAAAAAAGTAAATGGAAATAGAAAAAAATTGTTATTTTAAGTGTTATATTCTGTGCTAATAGGAAAATATACTTGACAAACAAATAAGTGAAGGTTTATTGTAAAACCAATACAATAAGAATAAAGGTAACAATTATGCACAAGGTTGTCACAAGTCAATCCAGTAGTGAGTGCTACTGTTGGCAGGTCGGTAGTTCTCGTGTAAGTCTGAGGTACTCAACAGATCCTAGCTACTCCATGTAGTCTGCTGACTTACAGATACTTATATGTAGTGACTACCTATATTGTAGTCACTCATGGGGGTGACAGGTTATTCCATTACATTATTAAGTCGTAACAGCATGAATGCAGGCCTGACTTATCACACTCCTTCCTGGTCTTTTGAACAGGAGTAAAGGTTTAATCCCTGGATTTCTGTTTAGGATTGGGTTTCTAGTTCATTCTAAATTCTACTTCAACTATATGGTTCTAACATCTCTGCCTAAACTCTGAAATTTATACTATCTATTTATTTTTTCTTCAATAGGAATAGATAGGTTCACCTATCATCTGGTTCAAACTCCTTCCAAGTCTTTTGAACAGGAGTAGCGGTTTATCACTTGTTCCTTGTTAAGGATAGGGTTTTCAATTCCTTCTAAAGTCTTTTCCTTCTCTTTCATTTCCAGTAGCCCCTTGTGTCTTAGTGGTGTCATTGCCTTGCTTGGGGTGAGTTGTTTAAAAAAACTTAGTGAACATAATAATTGTGAGTTTAATCCCTAGCCCAGGTAATGCAGACTTACACGCATTGGAAGTGCATGGAACTAAAAAAAGAACAGGACAAGATATTCCTAGACATGGTCAGTAGAACAAGAACAATCTACTCACCTCCCCATAGATTAAATAAAGTGTTCATTACACAATTTCCTGAAGGTTAGCAGGATCAACAAGCATCTAATGAAGGCTGGGGAACATATCAACCAAAGCATTCTGAAAACAACAACAAAGATGAGGATAATAGTCCACAT